TCTTCGTTTATTTAAAAAAAACTTAGTTTCCATACCTGTCAATTTTGTATAGAATGATGGCAATTATGGGACATTTTTGCACTTGACTGTGTCAGTTAAATTATCAAAAATGAAATTATAAGTTTCTGTATGTTTTGGGATATATATATATATATATAAGTCTTGTTTTCCAGATTGCTTCAGTATTCATTCAGAGGGTAAGTTCGAACTTGCCTCAGTCTTATCAACAAATATAATTTTACCTTCCTGATATCTCATCCTATCTTGCCTTCATAGCCGCATGTGCCCTTAAGCTGTCAATCTGTCAAAATGTCGGCCTGTCCAATATCAAGCTGTATGTCCGAGTGGCATTGTCTTGCCAATTGATGCGCCCCTTCCGTTTTGGATTCATTTTTATGATGTTAGGGCCTCAGATCAGCTGAATCTACGCTATTTTGGGTCACCAAAGTGATCAAATTTGTTTTCAGTTTGTGAGCTTGATACGTTAACCACTCCGCCACATTGCTATGAGTGCCCTTGGGTCACAGGAAAGATGTCAATTTCAAGGAAGGTCAGGCATTTTCCATATCACATTCCGTGTTATGATTGTCGATGATGCAAACTTATGTTAGCTATCGCGATCAACGACATTACTTTTTTCTTTATTGACTAGGTTTTCGAGACTATCAGTAAATTAGGTGAGTTGTGTTTACCTTATTTCATTTAAACTGATGGAGGACTACTCGTTGAATGTACTCAGAAATCCCACTAATTAGAGAGAAATACAAGGCTGCATCGCTTTATGAAAATTTATCGATACTTCTCACAATCTCAATACAAGGAATTAGCTTAAATTTTGTGAAGACTCCAACATTTCATTTCTAGGGGCCTTGCAAATAGTTGTTATAGTCATTATATATTTTATTTTTTACCTTATGTTTGATTACCTAATATTGTGGCCTTTTAATGTATATATTTTTTCTTTTTCCACCTATCCTTTTATGCAGATCTGGCCTGCCCAATTTCTGCGCTGTCGCTATGGCTC